TGTGATCTGAGAAGATGCATGATACGATTTAAATCATCTTGAACTGGTAGAGACTTAGTTTGTGTGCTAACATGTGGTCTATCTTTGTGAATGTCTAGTGCACTTGAGAAGAATGTAAATTTTGCAGTTTTGGGGTATAATTCTCTGTAGATATCTATTAAATCCATTTGATCTAGTATATCATTTAGAGTCTCTGTTTCCTTGTTAATTTTTTGTCTAGAGGATCTATCCAGTGATGTCAGCGGGGTGTTGAAGTCCCCTGCTGTGATTGTACTGCTGTTGATTTCTTATTTGAAGTCCTATGTTAGGTGCATATATGTTTACCAAGGTTATATTCTCTTGTTGGATAGATCCTGTCAATATTATGTAGTGGTCTTCTTTGTCTCTAGTTATGGGCTTCATTTTGAAATCTACTTTATCAAATATGAGTATTGCTACCCCAGCTTGTTTTTTCCTTTCCATTTACTTGGAAAGTTTTTTACATCCTTTCACTTTCAACCTATGTGAGTCTTTATTGGGCAGTGGGTCTCTTGTAAACAACATATATATGAGTAATATTTTCTTATACATTCAGGTACTCAGTGTCTTTTGATCAGGAGCATTTAATCCATTTATATTTCAGGTTATTATTGATATGTACTTACTTATTTCCATTTTTGTTTATTGTGGTTTGTTTCTCTTCCTATTTATTCTGCTTATTACAGCAGTTCATTTAAAATTTCTTGGAGTGCTGGTTTGGTGCTAATATATTCCCTTAGCCATTTTTTGTTGTTGTTGTTGTTGTTGTTTTTTTGTTGTTTTTTTTTTTGTCTGAGCAGCTCTTTATTTTACCTTCTATTTTGAATGATAGCCTTGCTGGATAGAGGGATAGAGTAGTATTGGGTTCAGATCCTTGTTTTTCATTACCTTAACTACTTTATACCAGTCTCTTCTGGCCTATAGTGTTTCCGTTGAGAAGTCAGCTGATAGACTTATGGGGGCTTCTTTGTAGGTATATGTTGCTTATTTCTTGTTGCCTTTAGGATTCTCTCTTTGTCTTTAATTTTTGGCATTTTAATTATTATGTATCTTTGTGTAGGCCTCCTTGGGTTCTTCTTACTTGGGGCTCTCTGTGGTTCTTGAACTTGTATGCCTTTTTCCTTCACCAAGCTAGGGAAGTTTTCTGTCACTATTTCTTCAAATATATTCTCTCACCCTTGCTTGTTTTCTTCTTCTTCTTGCACTCCTGTAATACAGATGTTGTTACGTTTCATATTGTCTCACAGTTCTTTTAGGCTATCTTCCTGTTTTTCAATTATTTTTTCTTTTTTGTTTTCTTATTGAGTGATTTTTTTCTACCCTGTCATCTAATTCACTGATCTGGTTCTCAGCTTCCTCTACTCTGCTGGTTATTCCTTCCAATGTGTTCTCTATTTCTGCTACATCATTCTTCATTTCCAATTGGTTGGTTTTCAGTGCTTCTATATCTTTACTCATGCTGTTGAGCTTCCTCATGATTATTACTCTGAACTCTCCCTCTGATATCTTGCTTAATTCCATTTCATTTATTTCTTCTCCTGTCATATTATCTTGTTCTTTCATTTGGGGTTTGTTTCTTTGTTTCACCATCTTGGCTGTCTCAGTGGATTTTGGAGCCTGGAAAATTGTCCCAGTGGATGTTCATGTTCTGCTGATTGTGGCTCCCTGTACTGGGTTTGGATGAGTGTGGGAGATCCACGTTGAACACCACTGTCAAGTCTTACTTTCCTGGGTAGATTTGCTAGAACTTCTACCTTTTGATCCAAACAATATTATTGACCTTTAATTCTTAAAGTGGAAAATCACAGTAATTCACAGTTACATTTAAAATTCAAACATGTAATTATTTAATAGTCATTCATAATGATCAGAATAAGCCTAGATGCAAATAAAAAGGAGGCTCCAGAAGCAATAGGGTTTTCCACATTTCAAACAGATAGTCATAAATTCTGATCAACACTAACTTCTAAATCACCAGTCTCATCTCTGAAACAAAACCAGCACTGTGATTCCCATATCACATACTTTTGTCATTTTTGAGCAATTATGAAATAAATGTTTTTCACACATTTATGAAGAGAGTTTTTTTGTTTGTTTATCTTTTATTATTTAAACACAGATGATCAAAATAATGAATATTAGATATTAGTCCTACTTCTGAACACATCAGACCACAATAAACTGGCAAGATGGATGGACACTGTTCACACTGAGTGTGCATTACTTCGTAGACACATCGCTTATCTCCCTCCCTAACTGGAATGTAAACTTTATTGTTGAAGAATCTATTTCATTATCTATCACTATGTTGCAAATCATGATTTAACTCCTTTTAAAAATAATTTCAGTGTAGTCCTTGAAACTTTTCTAAGATGCATTCTAAATATTAAATCGCATCTGCATGAATTCAAGTCAGACTTGCCTTTGCTGCAGTTTTTTGTTTTGTTTTTTCCCCACAGTGTTTCCAATAGTGAGACAGTATTGTCAACATCCTTGGTCCTTAATAATCAGAAGGCTATCTGATCTGTTTGAAAGTAATACTTGCTATTGTCTACAGAGCACTTTATAATCAATGTGTATTGGTATATACCATAGCAATGTGACTGGTACTTTCAAATTGTGAGACATTAATCAATAAAATTCTATCATTTATGTTGCTGCCTTTGTTATAGACAAGGACATATCTTGTTTTAGATGATATGTACGCATATAAGTTCTATGTTGGGTCAGGAACAAGGTAAGAATATCCCCTCACCAGTCCTATTCATTATTGGAACTCCTAGTTAATGCAATAAGAGAAGTGAAAGAAATAAAGAGTATTTAGATTAGAAAGGAATAAATCAAGCTGTCCTTGTTAGTATGATTGTCTCTGTAGAAAAATCCAATAGAATGGAAACAAACACACAAAAAGCTCCTGGAATAAGTTTTATAGCAACGTTTCAGGATATAAAATTAATATATAAAAGTAAATTGCTTTTCTAAGTATTAGCAATAGCCGATTGGAATTAAAATACACCACCATTTCTATTAACACCAAAAAATGAAATAATTAAGTATACATCTAACAACATATACACAAGACCTTTCTAAGGAAAACTATAAAACTCATAAAAATGTCAAAGGAGATCTAAAATAAATGTAGAGATATTCAATATTCATTGATAGGGAAGCTCAATATTGTTAAGATCTCAGTTATTTCCAATGTGATCGATTTATCCAACACAATCCCCATAAAAAGTCCCAGCAAGTTACTTTGTGGCTATTGACATAAAGTTTATATGGAGAGTTACAAGAACCAGAATAGCCAACACAACATTTTAAAAAAAGGACAAAGTTGAAGGACTGATGCTACCCAACTTAAGACTTACTATACAGATACCATAATTAAGACAGTGTGAAAGAACAGACACATAAATCAGTGAAACAGAGCAGAAGGCACAGAAATAGACCTACATAAACATAGTTAACTTACCTTTATCCAAGGGGCAAAGGCAGTTCAATGGAGAAGGGATAGTGTTTTCAACAAATAATGCTGGAACAATAAGACATTCAATTGCACACACACACACACACACACACACACACACACACACACAAATTATGCAGACATCAACATGTCACAAAAAATAACTCATATGTCATAAATCTAAATGTAAAGACAAAACTATAAAACTTTAAAAAGATAATGTATGAGAAATGCTTGGTGAACTTGGGTTTGCCAATGACTTTTTAGATATAATGAATGCTAAGAGCACAATCCATGAAATAAATAATTGATAAGCTGGACTTCAATAAAATGGAAAACTTTTTCTCTGTGAAAGACACTGTTAAGAGAATGAAACAATAAGCCACAGTCCTGGAGAAAATATTTGCAAATATATATCTGATAAAAAGGCTTACCTAAGTATACAAAGACCTCTTAATGTGCACTAGTAAGAAAACAAGTAACCCAATTTAAAATATGGACAAAATATCTCAACAGACACCTCACCAGAGAAGGAATACATATGGCAAATCAGCACATGAAACAATGAATGCTTCACATCACATCTCATCTAGGAAATGCTGATTAAAACAACAGTGAAATACACGGCACTCTTATTAACATGGCTAAAATCTGAAACCCTGCCCTGGCCGGTTTGGCTCAGCGGTTAGAGCGTCGGCCTGCGGTCTGGAGAGACCCGGGTTCGGTTCCCTCTAAGGGCACGTGCCTCGGTTGCAGTTTGTCCCCGGCCCTGGTTGGTCGTGCGGGTGGCAGCCACTCGATGTGTCCCTTTCACATCGATGTTTCTCTCCTCTCTCTCTGTTCCTCTCTCTCTCTCCCACTCTACTTGAACAAAAAATGGAAAAATGTCCTCAGGTGAGGATAAAAAAAAAAAAAATAAAAAAAAATAAAATCTGAAACCCTGACAACACCCAATGCTTGCGAATCTGAAAAAGATATATTGTGTATGATTCCAACTATGTGATACGGTGGAAGCAGTAAAAACATCAGTGGTTGCCAGAGATTGGGAGAGAGGGAGGAAGGCAGAGGTGGAGCACGGGAGATTTTTAGGGCAGTGAATGTGTTCTGTATGATATTGTAGTGGTGGAGACGTGACATTCTGGATTTCTCAAAATCCATTGAACTGTCCAACATGAAGAGTGAACAGTGTAAATTATGAACTTGAGTTAATAACGTTGGTTAACAATAATGTCAGGGTTAGTTTCTCCACGGTAAAAAATGTTCCCCACAAATGGAGAATGTTACTAATAGGGAAACTGTGTTGGAGAGGAAAGAGAGAGAGTATAATGGAACTCTCATTATTTTCTGCTTAATTTTTCTGGCCCTAAAAAAGTATAGTCTATTAATATTGTTTAGGAAAGGTCTGTGTTGGGGAAAAAACTGCTTTATTATCCTTGCACTTAATTAATATGTGTACATGTATGGAAATGAAACGAATAATGCCATTTAACAGAACGACTTTTGTTTTCTGAACCAGCCAGAATTTATATGTATATGCTAGAGAAATCCAGACTTGTTTCGCAACCTCTTGGCCAGAGCAATTTTCTCATTTTCTACTTGTTGATGGATGGATTATCTGCTGAGGAAAAATATGGACTTCACCTTAATAATTTATGTGCACACCGGTAAGTGTTTATGTACTTTCTATCTGGTAGTTCTGCCTTCAGATTTTGATTGCATTTTAGCAATCTTAAATTTCCTTTTTATTTTTCAGAAAATAGACATGACTAAAAGAGATTAATTGAATACTGTTAGGTTAGAATCATCTATATATCAGGGTATAATCGTTTATTGTATGCTTAGGTGAAATTTTGGGTATGGGTATTAACATGTTTCTACTGTCTTAACTTACGATGATAAAAATGTGTGCATATGTAACTTTTTTATTTCTTTTGAGTATTTTGGATATACCATTAGTTATGCATTCTTAATTTTTGGTAGTCTTTTTTAAATAATGGGAAATATTTAGGGGGTGATTATTATTCATTAGTAACAGATGAGGTTACATAATGGCTGAAGACAAACAACACAAACCTTGGAGGCTGATTTTCTAAAGCCCTGGAGGCAGAAAACATTTGTTAAAATGAGGATGCATTGGTCGTAGGATGGTGATGGAGATGAGGGGGTCACAAAGGCAGGGGGCTGAGGAACGTCTTTGCAGTGTGTTCATTTCCACCACTGCACGGCCCAGCGTGTCTTCCCAGAAGGACTGGTCTGGATTTGAATCAGGATGAGAGCGAACTCATCAGGAGAGTAAACCACATTCCGCAGTGGGTGGGAGAAGGGAGAGAGGGAGCGGGACATGCTGATCCAGACGCCCTAGTGAATCGGTGCAGCGCACGAAAGAACTGGGCTCTGAGAGAGATGAGGGTTAATTTCTGGTATCTCTTAACACCTGGTTTATAATTCATTAAATATTGGTTTTGGGGGTTCAAGAAGAAGAGTATGCGTTTTCATAGTTTTACCAGAAGTTTTGTGAGGAAGCTTAACGGACGCTTGGGGAGGAGGAGCAGGGCCTGAGGCCCCGCTGTGCTGGTGTTTAGATTCGAAGGTGAAGAGGTGGACTCGCAGGAAAGTGGAGTCGCCACGTGCAGGCTGGAGTGAGAGCGGTTTTTCAGGACGATGGGCTTTAAATGGGGCTGAACTCCGAGAAGTGGATGGAAAAGCTGCAGGGGCCACGTCTGCCCCAGCCGTGGCTGTGGGTTGAATGATGGTGGGACGTAAAGTTGGGGGGAAGGAGATGAATTGGCTGTATCCTAATGAACCATGGCATTATTGATCACACTCGTTCAAGTTCTTTGAAAATAGTACATCCAGCAGTGTACATGTAGTTTCTCACTTTGAATAGAAGAAAAGTAGCTCAGAAGGTAAGGCCTTGTCAAAATTGTGTTTTATTTAAAGTGAAAGACTCTTTGGGGGTATACTGTCTCCCAAAACAGCAGACATTCCTAAGAAAAAGAAAATGCTAATATTGAAGCATAATATCCTAGAGTTTAGTGACTTAGAGAGAGAGAGAGAGAGAGAGAGAGAGATTCTAAACTCCTAGGGCAATAGAAATATCTTCATCCAATTCCCACATTTCATAAAAGAGAAAATGCAACCCAGGCAAAGAGTACAAAGAGGCTTGTACTGAAATGAATATATTTACAATAGCAGTGTTGAAAAAACTCATTAATTACCTGGAATCAACTTTGTATATTTCTGCACTGTCTCTAATGGGACATGTCCCTGGGAGGAATCACATCACATTGGGAACCATGTGTTAGCTGCTCAGGAATAGGCTATGAGGACGGGCAGTCTTGGATTACTGTGTTCCTCATCTTTCGTATAAGCAAAAACTCAAACAAAGCTTATAGCAGATCACTGGTTTAGAGGGTGCGGCTGGTGTGTTTATGTGTGTACGCGTGCATGCGTGTGTGCTTGGCAGTAAGACATACAGCACTGGAGAAAGAAGGGCAGTAATCTAATCTGCCATTCAGAGAAACAATTTAACTTCTTGGTCTGTGGTTTGGACCAGTCTTTGAAGTGTGTGGATGTGTGGGAGAAAACAAGCATTTCTTTATTGAGCTCCAGTTCTAACATCCATTTCTCTTTGCAAAAGAGAGTTTGGAATCACTTAGGCTATTTAGAAAGTTAAACAGTCAGGGGTTGCTTTGTGAGAAGCTCCAACAGGAAAGAACTCAGCAAAATAATGAATAATTCAGTTCCCTTGAACAAAGAAGTTATTTTATTAAAATGTATTATAAATGTCTAATGGGCACAAGGCAACATTCCTCAATAAAAATACACACCACCACTCCAGATTCATAAAAGTATCAGTTGGAACATTTATGCAATGAGAATTCCACAGACAAAACATTCTTTAACAATAAAGCAAGCTATTTAGCAAATTATAATACATTATATATCCCAGTATTTTGTGATTTATGTTATGTGGGTCTTCTCACAGTTACAATATTGGTGTATCTTTTCACATATCAGTGCTACTAAGGTTCAGTTGAGTTTGAGTGGAGGTCTAATCTTTTGTTGCGTAATTATTTATGTGAAGTACCATCATTTTGAAAATTGTTTGGCTTGTTTACAATCAGTAGTACAAATGTGTGCTTGCTGGCTTTCTAACCTTTCACAAATTAATGATCCTTCTGAGTCTCAAAAGCAGTACACACAGGTAAAGTATATCGCTATATGTATATACATACGCCTAAATGCTTTTATTTGTGTATATATAAACACTATTATTAAGGGTACTGTCATTATCACATCCACTTCTTTGATTTTCTTTAAAAAGATGTTGACATATATATTAAATAGAACCAGGCAGACCCTACATTACCATCTGAAATCCCTCTGCGTATTCAGAACTCATTCCACGGTGCAGCTTGTCCTGAAATTTTGTTAATGTATGTTGAGTGTTAAACACTATAAAAATTGAACACCTGCTTTCTTCAAATGCATCTTTTCTTTATTAAAAGCAACTCATTGCATGTAACCGTAACTGTGAACCGAAGATACCCAATATTTATCACATGTTCTTAGATGATTAGAACTCCAGAGAGAAGGAAACATTGTTATAATTAATGCTTTACAAATACAGCTGTGTGTCTTTTAACTTTGAGTGTGTTTTTGGAACTAAAGGTTTTTGAAGTATGACATGAAAATTTATGGAGGTTTCCTTCAGTACTTTTGCACCTAAAAATACTATTCTGTTTGTAAAATTGGGACAATATCTAGAATAAACAGAAAGCTCCCTTGCTCAACTCAACAATATAAAAGCCACAACAGGTACACACATCAGCCCCTAGAGCTTAACTACATGAAAACAATAGTTGTAACACTTTGCACAGAATCTTCCTATACACATTGTTAAAACAAGAAGAAAAAGTCTCGAAGTCTGTAACATTTTGATCAGCAGCAATAATATTGCACTTGTTGAGAATTTCCACTAGATGGTGCACTCTCCACAAAGTCAGATGGGCGCAAAGGAAAACAAGCTCATCTCTAAAGGTTTCTGTTTTATTTATGATTCTTCCTATGATTTATTTTTGCTTTACATGGCTATTTGTTTTTCAAGTTCTATTTCAATTTCTGTATGGAATATTAACATTATGTCTGAGGAATAAATATAGTTTATGTGTGGGAATTGAGCTTTAAAGAAAGTTAAAAATATTAATTAATTGCTTCTCTTCAACCTTTAAACAGTTTTTATGGGTTTAGTCCCAGAACAGTTGGGCTCCAGAATCCAAAGAAGTTATTCCTAATCTCCCTTCATATTGATTAATGATGGAAATGATTGTGGTGCAGCATAATAACATTTTCAGCAAAGGTCAGATTTTGAATTATAAACTGAAACTAGCAATCATTGGACTCAGAGCGTGTGACCTGTTTGTAACCTTGTGAGCTGGTGAAAGGAAACTCCGACTCACTGAGTATCCGAACATGTGATCTCTGCCCGGGAGGGAGTACACCTGTCACAGTGCTGCGCAGTGAGCTCTCAGCGAACATTCGTTTTTTTGCTAAGGGCTTATTATTCAAGTTGAATTTAACCTGAGGAAGTCTCACATAGTTGGGGTTTTTTTAAAGGTCAGGGTATACTTAAATATTATTTGAGGATGATTCTTCATGATTTTGTGATATAATAAAATATTTAATTGGCCGCATATTTTAGGCAAACAGAGTTCAAAGCTGCTCCCAAGACAGAGGTTTGAGACAGGAGGTATTATAATCTATGTTTGACAGACTCTATTGTTAGTTGCCTAAATGATAATCACAGTTGTAATGTATACAACTCATGGAGCACTTAGCACAGGCCAGACCCTGTCCTCGTTAGTGCTCAGCTCCCTGGTGTGGTTGGATCCTCCCCGGTAACCAGGCGGAGGGTGCGGCACAGGGGGCAAAGGTGGGAGGCGAACCAGGAGCCAGGCATGAGTGCAGGTCCTGCTGACTCTTGGCGTACCCCGACTGTCTCTGCAGGAGCGTTGCCTGGAGAGAGCGGCCACCGCCTCTGCCTCCGGTGTCGTGGCTATTTTGTAAAGAAACCAGAAAGGAAAGCCCAAGGTCAGCATCTGTGCTTAAGGAGATTTAAAATCGGTTAAACAAAGTAACTTAGGACATTCTAGAGTTGTCTTCTCTACCATAAAAATCAATTTGGGGTCATTTCTTTGTTTAGTAACATAATAAAAATGTGAAACTGCAAGAGCTTGCTGGACTCTAGCTCAAGATTATAATACTGAACGTGCAGAAAGGGGTGGGTCATCTCGGTCAACCGGCAGATGAAGTTCACTTGGGAAAAGCCAACAGGAAGGAGTCAGGGTCAGTGTCTTCTTCCTTCTTTCCATTCTTGAATTACATGTAGCCAGGAGAGGAGAGAGAGGAGAAACACGAATATTCGGGACCATCCTCTGCCTCTTTTGCTGGTCTTCAAAACCCTACAGTTGAGTTATTGGTCTGTTAAGTTGTCTTTATAATACACCTGAAGCACAAATAAGTAACATACTCAATGCTGTTTAGTAAATCAAAGCCCCAGATTCCAAACTCAGGTATGCATAGCTTCAAATGTTCTGTTCTTCAGAACTCTGTGATGGCCGGTGTCAGATACTCACCTCTCGCACACTTAAGGAAAAGGGGG